CGCAAGTTCAGTGACGCAGGTAGTGACGATTCTCTCCGGCCAATCCGTGATCAGCAGAGTTTACACGTCACGTTTTGGTAACGGTACGGTTCACTTGGAACCCCAACCGAGGTGGTACCAAAAAAAGTACCAGGTACTAGGTACTGTACCCAGTGGAAAACCACCCAAAAGTGAACCGTACCGAGCCGTACCGTGCCGTACCATGCAGTGGAAAAGCGCCATAATACAACCCAGTACCCCGCTATTTATTTTGTGAGCTTTCATATGATACTTAATGTAGGCTAGCTAGAGTACTAAACCTGAAACAAGAGTTACTGTAGCTACTGTAGTTAGGTAACATCAAGATTGAAATTTTAAGTTTTATTTATTGAATCCTCAATGTGAAGGTTCTGGTTGGGTGAGTATCTTCAATAACACTAGTTAATGCAGTGATATCACTTTGGAAGACAATCTTAAGAGATGGTGGCTATGTGATACCTATTTTTCATGATGGAATAAGATGTCTTGGATTGCCTGTCAAAACACTATTTTGGACATGGAATCAACAAATCTCCTCTTAAACTTGGAATGGTTTCACTATTATATTCCCTCCCACCTCCATTTGCCTCAATCATCCAGTGAAGGGACAAGGTCCTAGAGTGGGTCAGCTCCTGCACTTTGGAATTTGAGCGAAGGTTTCACTTGTGTACTTACAGCGGTCAGAGAAACTAGCTATACGACAGCAGGGGAGGTGGAGAGGCCCTGCCTTTCCTCCCTGCTGCTAGGAAAACTGTCCCACACTGCTCAGAGAACAACACACACCTCCCTGCCCCCTCTGCATGTACTTCTCCTGCACCCTCTCAACCACTCCTCCTAGGGGGGTCCAGTTGGGCCTAGCCGTGGTATGGAACACAAGCCAACGTTCAATCTCAGGTTACACGATTGTGCAACATGCGGCTTTGAACACCCTTTCGACCCTTCAGAGCTGAAGTCCTACTTCCATCTCAGGGCCTCATGCATTATGAGTTGAGCCCCTTCTGGTCCTAGTAAGTCCCAGAGTAACATTCAAAGAGCAACGGTTTATAACAAGGTTCTGCTGACCTTAGGTCCTCTGACGTGTCTCAGTTGTTGGTCAAGTTTGTAAAACTGGGATTCAAGCCTGGGAAGCCCCTGATATTTTTCTGGAAGTGCCCAAGAGATATAATGCGTCATGGCATTAGGGCTGGGTTTGTACTGCTAACTGTTTCTGCAACAAATGCAATAGTCAGTCAATCTGGTGTGGCTTCCTTTCTTCCAGATGTTTTTGTAAACATCAGGGAGAATTAAAGTTAAATTAGGTAAGAAAAACATAGTGGTCTGTGCTTATGTGACTCCATCTGCATTTGAAAGCAGTTTTGGTTCAATTTTAGGACTTTTCTTAAAGGGATAGTTCACCCAAAAATGAAAATTTGATGTTTATCTGCTTACCCCCAGGGCATCCAAGATGTAGGTGACTTTGTTTCTTCAGTAGAACACAAACGAAGATTTTTAAACCAAACCGTTGCAGTCTGTCAGTCATATAATGGAAGTGAATGGGAATCACGGCTTTGAGAGTCAAAAAAGCATACACAAACAAAACCAAATTAAACCCTGCGGCTCGTGACGATACATTGATGTGTAAAGACACGAAATGATCGGTTTGAGCAAAAAACTGAACAGTATTTATATCGTTTTTTACCTCTGATTCACCGCAATGTCCGAACTGTCCTGTCTCAACAGCCGGCGCGTGACGCGTCTTCTTCTTCTTCTTCTTGCTTTACGGCGGATCACAGACTTATAAGTGCCTT